AAGTGTCATTATGTTCTCATGTAACTGTTTAAACTCAAGGACAAACACAACCCACTGAAGCCAGGGAGAGGAGTAGGAAGAGCAATGTAGGATTTCCCTCCAGTGCAGGGCATTGCTGATTGGTTGCGTGGAGGGCTGGGAGCAGGAGGTTAGCGCAAAAGAGTCCATTCATTTAGTTCCCCTTGTCCGCTGGTCACTCGTTGATCCTGGTTGTCATCACTTGAGGCTTCTGGTAACAAAGCCTCTTGATGCTTTCTGTCTCATAGCCTACAGGAAAGCCAGGGTAGGAAGGAGAAAGCTTGTGGCTCTACCTTGAGCTGGGTGTGGCCATGTGAAGTTGTCCAAAGCACGGGTGGAGATGTGGGAAAACACAAGTCCACAGACCTGAGAAGCCCAAGGGATCTGAGGCGAACACGTGCTCCGAGATCCACCCTTGGCTTCACTTGAACTCAGCACCCATAACCACCGCGTGAAGCTGCCATTTTGGTGAGAAGAGACTCTTCCTCGTTGGGAGAGGCAGCATTAGCTCAGGGCGCATTTTAACAGGGAGGATCCCCAAGAAGACCCAAGGCGAGGGGGGTAGTGAGATAAATCAGTCTCTAAAGGTGCCATGGTTGATGCTCGTCCTCTTCTTTCTCTACTGTTACCTCTAGGTGACCTTTTACCACAGCCAACCTGATTGGCCTGACAGCGGACTCCGAGATGGATCCTCCAGGTATCTAAGTCTGAGGCTGGCTTGCTTTTATTGGGCTTTCAGAGTTGAATTGCTCATTTGTCTTTGTTCCCGGGCATGCGATGGCCAAGAGATGCCCCACTATGTTTCCTAAATTCAAAACATAATCGTCCTTGCCCCATGGCACAGAAATCCCCCAGAATTTCATGTTAGTCAATCACTGTCAGGTGGAGAAGCTCCTTCCTAAGTCCATTGCTATGTGACTGGGAAGTAGCTGTAGCTCTAAGTTCAACAGAACTTATTTTTATCTATTATGTATATATAATGTTATTCCTTTATCTATATTTTTATTATATTTTTGCATATGTAAAAGATAAAAATGTTCAACGAAAGTTTAATTCCCAAACAAAACATCTCCAAAAATATTATTGGGTTTATTTGGTATTGGCCGCCTACCTTAGTGTGGTTTGTATAACAGTGAGACTCCACTGAAGAAATCAAATCTTTCCTTTACCAGTGGTTGATACACAGAGATAGCTTCTGTGTTAGGGATGGGGTTAGGGTTCACCTCCTGTTTCAGTGTGGAGACTCAATCTGTCTCGGACCTGTGCAGGTCTTGTGTGTGCCTCCATAGTCTCTGTGAGTTCATATGTGTATCAGTTCATACGTGTGCTGTGTCAGGAAAATGCTGCTTCCTTGGTGTGTCCATGCCCCACTGCCTCTTACACTCTTTCCGCTTCCTCTTCTAGCTCCCTGAGTAGTGTGTAAATCACCTAGTTCAGAGATTCTGGAAGGCCCTGGTTTGTGGAAGCCATAGCGGCAAAGCACACGTGGGATTCATGCCAGTATGGCACGCACTGTCATGTATGGGGTTTCACTTACCCTCCTTTCAGAGAGAACCTGTTATGGTTTTGCGGACACTAAAAGAAGACATGGACTCTTAGATCAGAGACAAAGATTCTTGCTCTTATTTCAGCAAGCAATGTGGAGTGTCAACACCCATGTCTCTGTCTCATAGGGGAGGACGGAGGACACAGATTCCGTAGGTTTGTATCCCAGCTCTGCCGTGTGCAGCTTGGGAGACCTGTTCTCTAGCAAGCAGTAAAACACCCCTGGCTGGATGAGGGGGTGAATATTTATAGTCCCAGCACTTAGTTCTGTGAAATTCTTGTAATCTTCTAAATCATGCATGTTTCACCCTGATAGAGGTTATATATGTCCTTACTTGAAGTAATTTTTGAAAACCAAAGGCTATACATGATCATCCCCTATCTACAGGGTATATGCTTCAAGATCTTCAGTAAATAGTGTCAACCCTCTATGGTTTTTGATAGAAATTTATCTTATGAATGAAGCCCAATAAGAGACTGATAATAGTTAATAATAAATTAGAACACTTAGCCAAAGTTGAGCAGATACTCAAGGTGGTTGCTAACTAACTAATGGGGTAGGGTTAGTATCTATGAGGTGGATTCAATGGACAAAGAATGGTGTGAGGTGCCATCATCATACTCGGAATGGTGTACAATTTAAAATTTATTCAGTCTTGGAATTTCCCATGTAATACTTTGGGAACATTGTTAAATGCAGATAAATGAAACTATAAAACAGAACCACAGACAAGGGAGACCACTGTGATCCTACAGCCACTTTATGTATCTATTATGTGTACAAATCAATACAGCAAAACCACTCCGTATTTCAAGAGGAGAGGAACATGGTAATGAAATGGACTCTGAGAAACAGGAGTCAAAGAGGGCTTAGCCATTCCTGCCTTTTAGGATTGGCCCAGGAGTCATGGGCCAATCACCACTGAGCATTTCTGATGGGTAGTCTGCAGGGGAGTTTGGGATATTGCCAGGGATGCCCCGTCTACCAGATAACAAAGGCATGCCTGACCCCTGCAGGTGAGAGCACTGAGGGCCTCTTTCTCCCCTCCTGCACACACCCACAGCTTTTGTGAGTGCCTCCCAGTGGCAGCAGTGGGACATTAACAGGACTGGTGTTAAGAAGAATGAGCATGTGGTTTGCAGACTTCCAGATTCCGTGGGCTGGGGAAAGTTCAGAAGGAAACAGGAGTTGAATTATGACTACATACACAATGTAGCCGAGAATGTACTGCACAGAGAAGAAACTGTGTTTCTTTCTCCTAGAGATTTGCTTCTTACATCTCTGTTTTCTCTGTGCCTAGCACACTGATTGACAGTGTAGCTGTTTCAATACACTGACATTCCCTAGTCTAATAGTTTTGAGGGAATCACATTTCTGAGGCTGATTAATACATTTTGTGAGCAGCTCAAGATACATTGTTTTTATTGTTTCCAATCCTTAAAGCTTAATGTTGGCTTAATTGTTTCTGGTGTGTACATGTGCGTGCGTGTGCATGTGTGTGTGTGTGTGTGTGTGTGTGTGTTACTGGGGGATTGAATGCAGGACCTCAGGCATGCTAGACAAGTGAACTGGGCTTGCTCACTGGGCTACTACAGTTCCAGATAAAAATATTCTTTGCTAATAATATCTTCCTTTCACGCAATCCTAAGCTGTTGTATCTGTTCCCTTCTTTGCTGTTATTTGTTGCTACTCTTGGTAACAGGGTGGGAATGAACAAATTATAATTATCTATTAGGGAAAAATAATTGATCTTATGTCATTCACAATAAAAATACATAAATATTAATAGCTCCAAGTCAAAACAATTTAGTGAACAATAGTTGTGGAATGCTTTCTATAAAATACTTAAATGAATGCTCTTTCTTTTCTTTCATACAAACCCATGAGGAAGACAATACTGTTTTGTTTATTGTTTTGATCAAGAAATTGAGGTATCTCTCCTAATCTCTTTAACACTTTTTAAAACAGTATTGGAACATTTAGTGACATTTTTGACTTTCATTAGCTACTGCATAAATATCAGATTAAAGAAAAAGTAAAACAGTAATGCAATATTTTTACCCATCAAACTGAAAATCTATCACCTGTTAGGGAAGTGGGTGGGAGAAAGCCTCTCTCATAACTTATCAGTGGTGATAACAGAAAGGAAATGGGGTAGGCATTATTGCTATTCATTACAATAAAAATCAAATACTGCTTTCCCCAAATTTGCTCTTTTGAAAATTTCCACTTGTCCCAATGAGCTATGAAAAGAGATGTCTGCACCAGTGACTTGCAATGGCAGAGAACTGGGACCTGTCTACATAGAAAGCATAAGAGAAAGAATAAGTAAAAAAAGTCTATTAGTACGTGAGGTGGCCATTTAAAGCATTAGATAACGTACTGACAAGTAGATAAAATCTTCAAAATTAAATGCTGAGTGAAAAAATTAGTAAGCTGCTGGAGAGAAGGTGAACTGTGGCATGTCCATGCACACATCAGGTACGCGTGAGATTACATGCATGTGTAATCCAGATTCCATGCATCAAGAACACACTATGGAATGAAAATAAAGCAACTTCCTCTGGATCAGTCTGACCAAGAGGGTGTCCTGATGTGAAGTCTCCACTTCCCCTATCTGCCGTCTGTCTTTCTGTGTGTGTCATCTGTCTGTCCTCATTGCTAGTGTCTTGTGTCTGTGTGTGTCTGTTGTACCTATCCCACCCAGACAAAGGACTTTTATCTGTATTATTAGTTGAACACCACAGGAAGATGGCACATGGAGGGAGTGAGGGATCGTTACAGAAATTAAGTCTTACAAGGTAAGAAGCTACTTTACTGATCCCAGATGATCCAAAAGGACACTCAGAACAAAAAGAGATACTACCAACTCATGTCTCTATGTTACTTTAAACATTTCGGGGGTATTTGTTTTGTTTAAGGTTGCTTCCAACCTCTTGGCTGTTTCCAGCAAGTGATTAGCACAACAGCACATATACACATGCATATGCTAGTCTGGTTAAGGGGCATGGGAGAGTATGTAACTTAAGAACAAAGCTCTGCACCAAGCTTAGTTTGAAAAATATGATTGCATAGGAAACCCAAAGCTCATAAAGGCTGGTTGCATTGTTCTCTGAAAGACAGGTCAAACTTAAACAGGCTGAGTACACAGTAGGCTCACAGGATAAGTCCACAGCCTTAAACAAACTGAAGACAAATTATTAACTGAGCTTCAAGGTCCAGCAAAAGTTCAGCCTCTTTGGAAATAAGAGACATTTTTAGAAAAATGGTATCAGCATGCTTGTGTATTTTATATATTAATATTGTATTTATATAACATGAATATAAATACAATAAGTGGTGTAGGAGGGTCTTCTTTCTATGTGTTGCTTTTATTGGTTGAATAAAGAAAACTGCCTTGGCTTTTAATAGGGCAGCCCTTAGATGGGCGGAGAATACAGAACTGAATTTTGGGAGGAAGAAGTCAGAGTCAGAGAGAGCCACCCGCCATGAAGCTGCCAGGTCAGACATGCTAAATCCTTCCCGGTAAGCCATGACCTTGTGGTGACATACAGATTATTAAAAATGGGTTGAATCAAGATGTGAGAGTTAGCCAATAAGAGGCTAGAACTAATGGGCCAGGCAGTGTTTAAATGAATACAATTTGTGTGTTGTTATTTCGGGGTATAAGCTAGCCAGGTGGGATTCGGCCCGCCGCCCCTTTTACAACAATAAAGTATATAGCAGAATATATATATGCATATATAAAGTATTTATTCATAGCAGGTATAATTTATAACATGATAATAAATATTATGGTTGACATACAGTAAAATATATCATTAGTATATATACATAGGCATATTCATAGTCATATTTTATAGGTACGCACATGCATGTTTCTTTATTTTTATAGATCAGCTATAAATGTAAGTATAGGCTTGGAAAAACCTCTACACAAATGGAAGTAATGGTTAAATTCGGAGAGGGAAAGTTCTGCAAAAGGCTATATTACGGTTTAAATTGCTTTTAAAGATACCCTAATTTTTAATTATGTGTGTCTAAGAGTGGGTTTGCGCACATGAGTGCAGTTCCCATGGAGCTGAGAGAGGCGTTGGGTTCCTTGGAGCTGGAGATTGGGAACTGTCAAATGTAGGTGCCAGGACCCAGACCGGAGTCTTTGGCAAGAGCAATACACCTAACTGCTGACCCATGCCGCCAGTGTTCAAATGTCTTACAACTGGAGTATTGCTATCTTTCAAGAGCCTCACATACTCGTAGCCCAGGGGGGTTGTCTCACATATTACTTGCATTGTTCAGAATGAGGGGTACCAGGGATGTCATCACTTGTCCGAGAATGTCAATGAGAGCGGGATCCCTGGGATCCTCAGTCCCAGTCGCCCTGAGAATGGCTCTGATGTGGCTGACCTGGCAAAGCAGCACTGGTCCCCTTGTGTCCCCTCTTATGACACGGTCTCCATGTCCTGAAGTGGAGGGGCAGAAAGCCAACTCGGCCACACTCTATACTTCTCAGCAAAGATGAACTTCTGTGGTAAAAAAAAAAAAAAAAAAAAAAAATGCACACAGTTTACGTTCCAGCTTATCTTGTAACATCCTGGGGAGTCTTGAAACTGCAGACGTCCCAAGGGGACTGACGGTTGCTTCTGAACACAGCCAAAGCGTGCATCTCCTTTAGCCATCTCTTTAGGAATAGCTCACCTGCCTGTGCCATCTTCTCAGGTTGGCCGGTCACATGAGAACTGAAGGGGTGATTAACATACTGATAAGGGCCAACCACTGAAGACTCCTCGGAGTCGAGAGTGTGAGTAAGCTGCCTCGCCAGGGGTTAGTTCACACTGTGGCTGCGCTGGCAGGGTTTTGCTAGCAGACACACTGCAGCCTAACCAACACTTTGACAGGATTAATGTACGTTAGGCCTTTAGTAAGGATGTCTATACACTTTCAATGACCAGTCAGATCTAGGCTGGGTGGTAGTGACACACGCCTTTAATCCCAGCACTCAGGAGGCAGAGGCAGGTGGATCTCTGTGAGTTTGAGGCCAGCCTGGTCTACAGAGCTAGTTCCACAACAGTTAGGGCTGTTACACAGAGAGATCCTGTCTCAAAAAAAAAAAAAAAAAAAAGCAAAACAAAAATTATAAGAAGTAAAAGAAAAAGGTCGGATCTGCAGATAAAATTTTCTAACCAATTATTTTCTATGCACAGTATCCAAATACATGATTGATAAACTTCTGCTGTGTATGATGGAACCCAATTGAAGTAGCAGCTCCCTTCTCTATGAGAAGTGCTCGTTACAAGTAAGTCATTCCTATTAATGAATAACTTGTCAATGTCTTTGGTGCCTTCTCTAGTTTCTCTAATCAGCACCCGGGAAAATTAGTTTTAGGACAACCATATGGTGCACATAACACTATTCCCAACTGCTAGTGGAGGTTGAGTCACTGGTTCCAGGTTACGATGTAGCTGTCGGCCCGAGTATCCTGAATCATTCTCCCTACCACTGAATGTATACTCAGTCAAAGAGGTTGCCGTTGGCTCTGTGGTAATGAATTCGGAGAGAAGGTTTGCAGAGTCTTGACATCCTGCTTACCCCTGCAAGCCCAGCCAGTGGAGGCTGCTGCCCTTTGATCTCAGTATTCTTTCCCAGTGTTCTAGTTTCCTTCTCTTGCTGTGCTAAAACACTGGCTGAAAGCAACTAAGGGGATGAAAAGATGTATTTGGCTTACGCTTCCAGGTCACAGTTCACTGTTAAGGGAAGTCCAAGCAGAAATTTGAAGACAACTTGCTATCCCACACAGCATTGCCTCTAACCAGAGAATTCGCTCAGAGAACGAAGTGCAGCAGGAACATAGAGGAAAGACGCTCGCCGACTCACTTGAATCGCTGTTAGGAAGCTGGTGATACAAAGAAAGACTCCCTATAGCTAGACCTCTGCCTGACAAGGTTCTCCATTTCCCTAGCAATGCTGAGACGTAGGTGGGATGCTGAAATAGCCTTCCATGAAGAGCGTAACTGCAAACACCATTTAGTATTTGCACTGACCACCAGGTGGGCAGAATGTGTGAGCCTGCCACCCTCTCGACTATCTACCAGATCATGTGTGCACCTGCTTCTGAGGTCGCCCCCCTAACTCCTGTGACAGTGCCGTCTGCTGAGACACGAGAGTGACTAAGAGTCTCCCTGTTATTTAAATAGGAATAAAAGATGGCATTTCTAGCATAATCTCTTGGGGGGAAATGGCCATTGTCTCATTTACTCTACCAGAAGTCCCTGTTTAAAAAAACACTTAACACTGATCAAAGGCAGTGTGCTATTTTCATGGAACCATTGTGAATGGTCTCAGTCCAGTTGCTGTCCCTGTGGTTCTGCCTCCTCCCCCTCTCCTCCTTCCCCTTCTCCTCCTTCTCTTCACTAGTCTGGCTTCTACCATGTGCCCCCCCCCCCCCCGCCATGCTCATATGTGCCAGGATCTTTCTATTCTTTTAATCCTACTCTTTCTTCTCTCTCTCTCTTTCCCCCTCTCCCCGATTGTTACTCTCTGCCTTTATAAGGATACTTGAGAATCCGTCATGTTCTCCATCCAATTTCTATTAAATTCATCTGTGTCAGAGTCTTTTCCAGCACCCTTGATTTTACACTTGGAGCTGAGGAAGAAGATTTCATGTTTGGCATCACAGCAGTGTGTCTTTAAACAAAAGGCTGAGAAAGGAAGGAACGTGTGGGATTTTGAAAAAAAAAAATCAAGCTATTGGAAGTTTAGAGGGTAATATTTGGCTCTGGATGCCCTTCAATGCTTAAATTTTATTCTGTAATGGCAGTGGCATTCTGTAAATGACCTGCAGAGCCTTGAACACAGCCTTCAGCTTTTCCTGCTGCCTCTCCTCACATCCTTCCTCACTCTGTTATTTTCAGTCATGTCCCTTCTCCGCTCCTAAGTAGCTCTCACACTTGTTTCCTCTCGTTCGTGCTATAAGGACGTATACTGAATTGTTGCTGAGACAAGCATCGTATCATATGCTGTATTGCTCCCAGTACACAGGAATTTTGGTACATTCTCAGTGAAGTTGGTAGACTGGTCAGGAATCGATACGTGAGTACATCTTTCATTAAGTAAGTACAGGGTCCAGCCAATACTTTCCTGGTGTTAAAAACAGATTTCAAAAAAACAATAGCGCAAATGTAACATCAAGTTTAGGTAGAAGAAACAAGATATATTAGCATGAAGAAATGTAGAGAATGTAGAGAATACGAATGAACAAAAACACGAAATAGAGAACAGAGATCAGGGAACATTCTGTCAAGGCAGCCACTTCTAACTGCTCTAATGGCTGGAGTTTCTAGGCTTCGTGTTCACCCTCCTCCTTCCGTGCAAGGCATCTGTGTTCTGAAGAGTTTCCCTGTCCACTTCTTGTGACGACACTTGTCCTCCCCCCTTCTCTGCATTCCTTCCCCCGTATGCACCATTGAGTCAACCTACTCATAGTTTCTGCTGTCTCAGAGCCGGCCGGCTATGGCTTATTAATTTCCACATCATTACCTTCTGGCCTCACCTATTCATCACCAAACTTTAGCCCATGCTGTTAGCTCTCTGGTTCTCCCTACACTTCCCAGTTTGAGCTGCTAATAACATGACACTGATGAACTAGACTCCACTGTACACTGCCAACCCCGTATGAAATACCTCTGAGTCGGTGTCCAACCTAGGCCTCTGTGGCTTGGTTGAATAATAAAGACTCCCGTGACACGACCCTTGTCAGGGTTTTATTAGTTAGGACCAAGAGTCATAATGCATACGCTGAGACAGACAGGCTACAAACACACATCACATTGTTCTTAAGGAAATAAAAGTATATGCCTTATTACCCCGAGGAAAGGTGAGGTAGTGGCTCATCCAAAGTAGTAGGAAATGAGAAATGTTGACTCTAGAGAGGCCAGCAAAGTCAACTCGGGGGTACAAAGAACAGGACTGAGCCCCAGAGAATCAAAACATTCTGGGAGATATTCGCATATATGTGTTTGTTACTTCACAATTCACAGGCAATGGAACAGTCTAGATGTTCATCAACACATGTAACACATGCATGGATAGAGATATTTTGGCACAAACACACAATGGAGTTTTTCACAGCCATAAATGAGATTGTGACACTTCCCGGGAAGTGGGCAGAACTGGAAATCATTATGTTAAATGAAATAAGCCAGACTGGAAAAGACAAACAACCCAACTAGCACTGATGTGCAGTGTAGCCTGTACCAGTGTGTGTTGGCGGAGGAAGGGGAGCCGTTTCCCCAGGAACATCCTTCCTAAGGTCCCTGTCAGAAGAAAAGGCCCCACGGAGAGGATTGCTGAGGCGGAGGGGAAGAGGGATGGCAGGGGCCATGAGAAGGAAACTCCCTGGAGAAAGACAGTGGGAGTCAACACGGACTACACAGGACAAGCACCCTCGGAACTTTGTGGGTCTCTTTCCCCTCAGGTGTGAAAGAGTTTCCCCAAGAGACCCAGGATTTTTGGTGGGGCTCATGTTGCTTCCGGCAATGTGCTCCCCAGTCCTGTGGCCAGTGACAACCTACTGGTGGCTTCTTCCATGTACTCTTTCTGCAGTAATGAGCAAATCACACACTATTAATGTTCTAGAAGCTTCTTAGCTCTTTCCAGTGGCTACAGCGTCTAGCCTGAGTTAGCTCTGGTATGGCCTGGGGTGCCTAGTCAGACAGTCTCTCGCTCCCTCCTCTTGCTTTGAGCCAGCATTTAGGCTTGTGTCCCCGTGCTGTGCAGCTCAGGCTGCTTCTGTGGAACCCTCTGGAAGTGTAAACTAGAAAGCCATCTTTCCTTTTTTACTTGCTGGCTTCTCTTGTGTTTACCTTGATTTCTCTTAAAGCTAGCCAGAACTCTTGGCTCCCATAGGCTGAGTGAACAGAGACCTGCTAATTCAGGGAAGTGGGTGAGGGGAACCTTGCATCTGGTGCAATTAGGAACCTTAATTACTCCCTCCTGCGACTGGAATTTCTCGTTTGGAGACATAATTGCCCGTGCCGTAATTTGCCGGGTCTGACTTTCCTGGCTAGATCTGATTTGAGTCAGGTGGGCCCCACCCCGTTGTCTCATCATAGTTCACACACACCATACTGACTTTTGCATCGAAATAACACACTGCAAAATGCTGACCTCCATCCCCCTCTCCCAGGCCTCCAGAGCAACCTTTTGCCCACTGAGGTAGACAGTAGCAGTAACAGCCACGAAACTTCCAGCGTCATGTGGTCACGCGTCCACCTGGAACTTTTCAGTCAGCAACTCTGCAGTCGCCTTTCCTCCAGCAATCCCAGGGCCTTATGGAAATTACTATCTTCAAACATAATATTGGGGTTGGAGAGAATTCCCCAAAAGTTAGAGAGTGACTTTGACTCATACCACAAGGGGGCGGCAGGAGGCTGCAAGAGCTGCCCTTAGCCCCACTGTGGTTGGAGGGTTAATTTGATTCTGTTGAGCCTCCAGGCACAGAATCCCAGCTCACCTAGGCAACTGGAGCCCCTGGGGAATGACAGCTCACATTAGGAGTTCTCATTGCTTCTGTCAAACTTCTGTTGTGCAAATAGCATCCTGGAAACCAGGATGGAGAGGGGGAAGGGAAAGAAGAGAAGAGAGGAGAGGAGAAGAGGGGATAGGAGAGGAGAGGAGAGGAGGGGAGGGGAGGGGAGGGGAGAGGAGAGGAGAGGAGAGGAGAGGAGAGGAGAGGAGGAGA